TGGAGAGATGCCAGGATACTGACAGGTGCCTTCCTGACGTCCAGGCTGGCTCTATCCAGCACATCATGGTGTCTGTTTATGTCACGTGATAACATTATTCATAGGCTACAAACTACGGCCTATTTGGAGGCAGCTAGGTGGCTGCAGTGAATACAGCCCTGGGCCTGGAGGCAGGAGGCCCCGAGTTCAAATCCAGCCTCAGTCACTTCACCCTGTTGGCCTCAGTTTCCTCATCTGTAAAATGAGCTGAAGAAGGAAAACCACTCCAGTATGTTAGCCAAGAAAATCCCAAAAGGGGTCATGGAGAATTGGACACAACTGGACAACAACAATTACTTATTACTGGTATGAATTAATTTGTAAAGTTTAATGCTAATTTTTTTTAACACAACAGGTAGGTATGAGAGGGGCATAAGAAACACTAGACATCGTGACTGGAGGAAAAGAAGTTTATTCTTCCTCCTGAGATCACTGTCATAGTAACTGACAGGAAGTCAGAAAAAAAGAGAAATAAAGGACAAGATGCTGGAAGGCGACTCCTCTGAGCTGCTGCCGGGCAGGAGAGCGGGGAAGGCTCGAGGGCCCTCCCTCCCCCCAACAGGAACTTCCTTGCTGCTGCTCTGAATGGGCCAGCATGGGACAGCAAGGGAACAGCATCGAGAAGGAAGAACCCGAAGCCATTCCGACCTCCCAACAAAAGACAGAAGATAAATGCCAGCTGGGGCTCAGTGGAAAGATGGTGCCGGGTCCTCTTCAGAAAGGCCAGTCGTTACAACTCGTGTCTAAGAGCAACAGGACACATTAGATAGTTCGGTTATTTTATGTTTGTCCATCAATCAACAAGTATGTATCGAGTGCTTACTGTGTGCCAAGCACCGAGCTCCAAACTGAGGCTACAAAAGCAGAAGGGGGTGTGGATGCTGCAAAACTGATTTTGAAAAATAAACAAGGTGATGGGGCTTAGGGGGGGACACCTGGGGGTGGGTGTGGGGATGGATCAGGAAAAGTCTCACAGTAGGGGTAGCTAGGTGGTGCAGTGGATAGAGCATTGGCCCTAAAGTCAGGAGGACCTGAGTTCAAATCCAGCCTCAGACCAAACACTTGACACTTACTGGCTGTGTGACCCTGAGCAAGTCACTTAACCCCAATTGCCTAAAAATAAAAAAAAAAAAGAAAAGTCTCACAGAGCAGCTGTTACTTGGGCTGATCCTTAAAGAGACTAGGGATTTCCAGAAATAGGGGAGAGGAGGGAGTTCATGTAGCCAGTGGATACAGCAAATGGAGTGCTGTGTGTGAAGAGCTTTGGAGGACAGCAGTTTAGCTGGATTGGGGGGGAGGGAGGGAGAGAGAGAGAGGGAGAGAGAGAGAGAGAGAGAGAGAGAGAGAGAGAGAGAGAGAGAGAGAGAGAGAGAAACAGAGACACAGAGACAGAGAGAGGAAGAGACAGAGAAATACAGAGACAATGAGAGAGAGAAAGAGAGAGGAAGAGACAGAGAGACACAGAGATGATGAGAGACAGACACAGAGACAGAAACAGAGATACAGACAATGAAAGATAGAGACAGAGAAACAGAGACACACACAGAGACAGAGAGAGACACAGAGACAATGAGAAGGAGAGAGAAACAGAGACAGAGACAGAAACAGTCGGGGAGAGAGAGGGAGAGAGAGAGAGAGAGAGCCTTCTCTCTCTGCAGCTCCTGGAATGTTAATTCCGAGTTGGGTTGTAAAGGGCTTTAAACGACAAACAGTTAATATTTGATCCTAGAAGTAATAGGGAGACACAGGAATTTATTGAGTAGGAAATGAAGGCAGTAACAAGCATTCATTAAATGCTCCATATGTGTCAGGCACCGTGCTAAGTGCTTTACAAATATTATCTCATTTGGTTTTCATAGGTAGGTGTGTTATCCCATTTTACATTTGAGGAAACTAAGGCAGAAGTTGAGTGACTTGCCCAGGTCACAGAGCTAGTAAAGTATCTGAAGCTGGATTTGAACTCAGCTCTTCCCGACTCCAGGCCCAGGACTCTAGCCACCTAACTGCCTCTAGTAAGTGGGTGGCATAGTCAGATTTGTATCGTGTCTGTATCCTTAGCTTAGCACTTAGCAGTATCTGGCACTTAATAAATGTTAGTCGGTTGCCAGATTTCCCTCCAGTTCTTCACTTCTTCAGGAGAGACCCGCCCCTCCTCTTCAAATGATACCAGTTCAGCATAATCTTGAGGTTCTGTGTCACTCAGCAGATCCAGCTAATTTATGTCGATTTGCCTTAATCTTTTCTAAAAATGCGGTGCCCCAGGCTAAGCCAAGGGAAGAAATCAATCAGCGCATCTATTCATTGTCTAGCGGCAGACGCGCCCCCCTCGCCCCAAGTCCCTGAGAAAAACGCATACGCCTAGGATCATGGTTTTAAGAGTCGGAGGGACCTTTAGTAATCATCTGGACCTGCATCCTAATTTTTCAGACAAGGAAACTGAGGTTCAGAGAGGTTAAATGGTTTGTCGGGGGTGAAACAAAGCGTCTACGACCTTCTGTAGGCGGCAGCATTCAGACCCTCAGACCCAGCTTGCCCTGACCCAAGCCCGATATCGGGCTCCCTCTGTAATCGGATACAACAGAAGTGGATACAAAATATCTATTGAAGAAGCCGGAAGAGGACGCAACAGAAATAGATACAAAGTATCTACCGAAGAAACTGGGACTGAGAGGGAGGTCTCTGGGCCGTAGCCTGGACAAAGTACCTCCCACAGCGAAGCTCCGGCTGCCCCATCCTAGGGAGAGGCTCTTATAGTGGGTTCCCCCAGTATAACGAGGCTGAAGCAGGGGACTGCCTTCGTTGACCTCCATGGCCATAGCTCCAGCCAGGCGGGAAACCTGGACTTGGGCCATTTCTGCTCTCGGGCCACAGCAAAGGATTAAGAAGGATGGAATTAGAGGGAAAAGACTCCAGCACAGCCACACTAAGAAGAGCCAGCGCCCAGCCAGCACGCGCACGCGCAGGAGGCAGGCGCTCTTTGCCCCCGCCCCCCCCAGGCGCAGCCGCAATGCTAACCTCCCGGCCCCAGCGAAGGAGTCACGTGACCGCGTCAGAGCCCAGGGGCGCCGGGACACACCCCCTCCTGGTGCGCACGCGCAGCTCCGGGGCGCTGAAATTCAAATTTGAACGGCAGCCTGGGCCGCCGCATAGGAGTGGGTGCTCACGACCCAAAGCTGAACGAGCTGAGCGCGGCCGCGGCGCCCAGTCCTCCTGACGTCGACCCCAGCCCGGCTCACCCCGCCGGAGTCCTAGGCCCACACTTACCCTTTTCCTTGGCGGCGCCGGAGCGGCGGAGTCTGCGGGCCGACTGCTGCACTGGGCGCGATGGACCCGTTCACCGAGGTGAGCTGAGGCCGCGGCCTCTAGCCCCTTCCTCACTCCTGCTCCTGCCCTCTTCCCTTGATCTCAGAGATCGGGGCACCGGTGCTGGGGTCCCCTCGGGGCCCACGGGGACGCTGCCAGTGCGCACGCGCCGCGAGGGGTGTTGAGGAAGAGAAACACCTTGGTCGCGCGGGGATGCTGTCAATGCGCACGCGCAGGGGTCCGGCTCCCCCAAGGGCTCGCTGGGGACTGCCAGTGCGCAAGCGTCTGGGGTCCCTGGAGCCGAGAAGGCAGGGGTCTGGGCGTGGGAGAGGTCTTGGCTTGTGGGAGAGGGGTGTGGTCTCTCTGAGCTTGGGCGGGGACCCTGGCCCACTTTGACTGGAAGATGCTAGTGAGGGAACCATGTCCAGTTTGGATCTTTGGGTCCAGCAGTTCAATTTGCCAAGAGCAGGATGGACGGGACAAGAAGGCAGATCTGGGGAGCTCTCAGGCCATCTGGTCGTTGGGATCACAATGAGTCTAGAAGGTCCAGAGCTGAAAGGAATCTTAGTGCTAACCTAGTTCAACTCTGACTTTACAGATAGGGAAACTGAGGCCAGGGTCGGCAGGGAGTTGTTAGAATCAGTCCATGCGATTTGGGGCTGCTGTAAGAGGGGCCCAGCACCCAGGGGTGATTGTCCAGCTGTACTCCGACCTCTCATCTCCAAAGTGGAGTATTGTGGAAAATTTCCTGATGAAGTTAGAGATTTCCAAGAGTAGAATAGGGGAGGACGGGGGACTCCCTCTCCTCAGAGGTGCCTGAGCAGAGACCGCTTGTGGAGTTTGTTCTGGGGAGTCTTTCTTGTTCAGGTTTGGTTGGACCAGGGGCCTTCGGAGTCCCTTCTGCTCTGAAGCTCCGGGATTCCGAGACAGGTTGTACGTGGCGGGGTGGGGGTGGGGCGGGCGCTGTCATTTACTGGCCACGTGACCTCGGGAAACCCTTTCCTCCTCCCAGAAGGCCCCTCCCTCCTCTGTTAGACCGGCCGGGCCCAGACGCCCCAGTCTGAATTCAAACGAGTCCGGACTGTAAGGAAAAGCGCCCTGGGGGAGGGGGGGGTGGAGTCTGGGCAGCGGTAACTGACGCGTTAGTAACTGACATTTCGAAATGACCAGACTTGTAAAGGCTAAAGGGAAGGGCGCTCCCTTTCATCTAGTCCCCCTGCATCCTTTGTCTTACCCCCAAGACTTGGGCTTACCGTGTTTTCAAAGAAAATAGCAGTGATTGGATAGAGCGAAGACCGAGCTGAACTACGAAAACGAGATTGTCAGCCTTGTGCCTGATACATTTCATTCATTTCTGTACTTTACCGGCGGCTGAGTGGCTCAGCGACTGTAGCCCTGGGCCTGGAGGTTAAATCCCATTTCAGACACTTATTAGCAGAGTGGCTTACCTTAATAAATGCTAGCTGTCATTGCGTACATTTGTGCAGGGCTGGGGAGCCAGGTGAAGTTTGAACTGAATGGCCTGGAGCCTGTCCAAGGAACTTTCTGGGCAAACCCATTTTTGTAGGGGGATGGTTGAGGGGTGGCTGGTTGGGCTGAGGAACTTTCATTTCAATTCAGCAGATGTTTCTAAGTACCTGCTGTGTACAAGGTAGTAGGGATGCCTCTCCATAGAGTCTGCAGTCCAATAGTTGAGATCATACTCTAGGAAGTGTGGTACAAGATGGAGGATAATCAGGAAGAAGAGAAGATCCCTTTTGACCTCAGCTGGACCTTTTGAGGAAGAGTGGAATTTCTGCAGGGAGATGGTATACGGTGGAAAGAACCTGGTAATTTGATCAGAGGGCTAAGTTTGATTTCTTTATCTCTGTGACTGAATGGTGGCATTACCTGTCAGGGCCTCAGTTTGCTCATCTGTAAAAGGCAGGGATGGGGGTGAAGTCGGACTAGATGATTTGATGACTTCTCACAGCCTCTTGCAGCTCCAAATCGGACGAGGAACAGACTGAGAAATGGAAAGGAAGCATTTATCAGGGCTGTAGAGGATGGAGGTGGGGTGGCCTGGGTCCAGGATAGTAGGAAACAATTGTTCTGGATTTAGGAGGGGGCAGGGAAGAAGCAGGATTCAATCCAATCTCGACTAGGGTGGAAGTCTTCTAGGCTGGGATTGTTGCTGTTTCCAGCAGGGCAGGGCCCCCTCCAGTCCTGGTGCCCGCTCACGATACCTGTCCTTCCCCCCCCCCCCCCCCTTTTCTTTGACCTGGATCTCCTTGCCCAGCCTGGAATGCTACCGCCACATCCAGATGCATCCCTCAAAAAAAGCTTAGGCTTTTCCAGCTTTGGGCTGTTCGGTCCTCCTTGATCGGCCCCACTCACTTATTGATGTTGGACAAGCCCAGTGATTAGAGGCATGGCCAACCACTTCACACAGTCGACTCAGAAGAGCTGAGTGAAAGGATTAGGAATTTGCATTTCAGTCTTCAGGCCTTAAGGAATTAGTGAACAGGTGGGTGTGGGTAGTGGTCTTCAGCAGGCTTAGACCTCTGTGCATGAAGAAGGTTTTTGACTTGTGCAAGGAAAGGATTGGAGGCAGGAGAGACTAATTAGCAGTTTCTTAAAGAGATAATGAAGGTCTTAGTTGACTAGGGAGAAACGTGGCTGTGGGATTACCAGCCAGTTTTGGGGGTGGGGCAGAATTGGCAGCTGATTGGTTGTGAAGGAGGAGGTCACATCTGCAGTGGCTGAGGTCAAAGAGTCCAAGCATTGATTAAGCACCCACTGTGTGCCAGGCAGAAAAGCAGTCCCTGCCCTTGAGGAGCACCCAGTCTCATGGGGGAGACCATGTGTATAAACAAGAGGAATTGAGGAGGATGTCAGAGATTGAAGCAGCCAGGAAAGACTTCACCTAGAAGGTGGGGATTTAGCTGAGAGCATCCGGGAGAGGCCAGAAGAGGAGGAGGAGGAGGACCAGGCATGGGGGACAGCCAGCCAGTGAAAATGCCTGGAAGCAGGAGCTGGAAGGATGCCGGTTTCATTGGGTTGTAGAGTACATGAGAAGGCCAGGCTCTAGAAGCCAAGTGGGATTTTAGATTTGATCTTGGAGGAAATAGGGGTCACTGGAGTTTATTGAATGGGCAGTGGCCCGGCCCCTTTGACAGTGGGGCTGAAGCTGGATGGGCGCGGGGAGAGGCTTAAGGCTGGCTGACCTGTCTCTGAGGCTGTGCTTGCTTCAAGGCAGGGGCAAAGGAGTTAGGGTGACTGGGAGGATGGGAGGAGGAAGCCGGGCAGGGCTTAAGGAGAAGGAGGGCTGCTTCTTCAAACATCATGAATTTAAGTGCCAGCCGCAGTGATGGGAGTGTTGGACTAGTGCTCAAAGGAGAGATTTGGGCCGGGAGGAGAGGGAGGTGTCAGAGGATGGCTCACCAAGCAAACCCAGAAAGGGCTACCTCAGGCAGGCCGGGCCAGAGGCGTTTGGGCAGAGGGCTGCCCAGCTCCTTTCTGTCCTACTCCGCCTGCGGCAACAGGACATTGAGCACCGGCTCATCCTGCATTCTTAGCAGATTAAGTTTGTGCCCTGACATTCTGGCCCATTAGTGTGACTTGGAACCGTTGCTCTGTTCACATAAACAGCCTGAGGGATTTTCCTTAGTAGGTAAGGAATGATGGAACACAGTCTTTGGGCCCAGTCCATCTCTGAGGCTGCTGACGGCCAGATTCAAATCATTCCCAGCCCTTCCCTGCTGCCTGAGCTTGCCCTTCCTCCCTCCTCCCCCCTCCTACTTCTTCTCCTCTTTTCCAAGCTGAGAGGCTGAAATGTGGGCAGGGGCAGGGGCTGGGGCTGGGGCTGGGGCTGGGTGGGGCAGGAGCAGGGGCAGGGGCTGGGACTGGGGATGGGCTGGGGCTGGGTGGGGCAGGGCAGGCCCTCAGTTCTCCCTTCTCTGTTCTCCTTCCTCTGGTTTTTGAAAAGAAAGGTGACTCAGAAGCATGGAAAGCTGGGCTGAAGCCTGGGCAAGGCCTCCATGGGCCCTCCACTGTGTCTGTTGGGCAAAGTCACATTCTTTTGGTATGACGCATTGCACACAGTAACTAGAAACTGCCAGAAATTTTCCAACGGAAAAGACTAGAATGTGGACCTGTCCCCGGAAAGGGACCGAGCATTGCTGAGGCACCTATCGTGTGCCAGGTGTTGTGCTAGTGGGTGCAGCTGTGGCTGCTTCTGCTGTCTAGGCCAGCGGGGGTGGGGTGCATCATTAGAAAACCTGAACGTTCATCTTCTAAATTTTTTCCCCCATTGCTTGGGTGCCTCTGTAACACTTGACACTGCAAAGTTCATGAATTCCGAGATTTGGATTGTTAATTGTCTGCTCAGTTGAGCCACTTAGCAGTCAGCCTTTCTTCCGACTCCTTGAATAGCTTATTGGAGGACTTCCTTCTCCCTCCAAGAAACAGGCGCCTGTGTGGAGCTCTGCAGACAGCTGACTCAGACGGGCCTGGCGGGGCAGGGACCGAGGGCACCATCCGCCAGGCGTCTCAGCGCTGCTAAGGCTTCCAGGAGCAATGACTCTTCCTTGGCCCAAGACAGTCCTTTTAAGTCCAGCATTGGTTAATTCTTTGGTCTTCATTAATTACAGAGATAAGCATAGCTTATAGAAATGAGGTGCCATCTTCTGTTTGGTGGGAGTCAGAGCACTAATGCATTGGAATTCATTCTTACTCCCCCTGCTCCCCAGTGTTTGTTTGCCCCTGCTGTTCTTGTAAGCGTGGCTCCCAGCACTCAGTTCCAATGCTGACAACTCTAAGGAGCATTCTTCGGGGTTTCGATTCCTCCCTGCAGCCTGAGCCCATTGGCCCAGGATTTGGTAGAAGGGAGGGAGGCACAGCTGGCCTGGCTTCTGCCTTCAGAAGAGCTTCCTCAATTGGACAGTTTGAGTGAAACTCAGAAACAGCTCAGCGAAATGGTAAAACGTCAACAGCTTTAGCCTTTTGGTTCAGATCTGGGATTCCAGTGCTGCAGGGAATTCCCAGGTTCAGAAGCTCACTCCACTAATCCAGACGAATAATTCTGGGCCTCATCTTCCCTTCCAGTCCTCCCTCCTCCTCCCTTCCCTATCACTGTCTAGCCCCCCCCCCCGCCCCCCCAGGCTGTTGCCAAAGCCTTCATTTTCACCTTTGGAACATCTCCCAATATGCCCACTTTTCCCCTTGGGCCCCACCCTGGTGCAGTCCCTCATCACCTCAGGCTTGGGCTAGCACAGTAGCTGCTGTGAGGGGGGCAGTCTGCCTACCTGAGTCTCCCCCCACTCCAGTCCATCCTCTATTCAGCTCAGATCTGGCTTCAAGGAGCAAATACAAAACGTTTGGATTGCCCTTCACAACCCCTCATACCCTGGCCCCTCCTGCCTTTCCAGTCTCCTTACACCTCAGTACCCCACACATCCTCTTTGGTCTAGGGACCCTGGCCTCCCGGCTCTTCCACTAACAAGACTGTCCATCTCTCTGCTTTGGCCTTCTCTCTGGACCCTAGGCCTGAAACGCTCTCCCTTCTCTGCTCTGCCTACTGACCTCCCCCAGCCCTACCTTCTACAGGAAGCCTTCCCCAGCTCCACTAAGTGCCCGGGGCCTTTCCTCTATTAATTATCTCCTATTTGGCCTTGTGGGTTTGGATGACATCTCCCCCATTAGACTGAGCTCCTTGAGGACAGGGACCCCCAGCACTTAGTGCTGTGCCTGACACACAGTAGGAGCTTAATAAATGTTGATTTGATGATTGCCTGACTTCCTAGTTTGGGATAGTTGCCTGGGGCACTGGTAGAGGTTAGGTGACTTGGCCAGACAAAGCCTCTGAGCCAATCCAATGGATCAGGGCTCTACTCATGCTGCCCTTCCCTTATTGTGACATGTGATGTGAGATTTTCATAGGGCTTTTCCTTTTTTTTTTTTTTTCTGCGTTTTGATGGGGCAGTCGGGGTTAAGTGACTTGCCCAGGGTCACACAGCTAGTAAATGTCATGCGTCTGAGGCCAGAGCTCTTATCCACTGCGCCACCTAGCTGCCCCGGGTTTTTTCTTTTGAAAAGTGACTTGTGTTTTAGCGTGGTAACTTGATGTGTTCTCTTGTCATCCTCAAGACCGGTGTTCCCTGTGCGGGCCTCGTAGGGTGGATCTAGGCATCGGGTCACAGTGTGTTTCTTTCAGAGACACGGCTGGGCTCGTTCAGTGGCTCGGGGCCTTTGGCCTTGTACTTCGCTGACCATCTATCGCATCAATTCCTCAGAAACTGCTTGAACGAACTCGTGCCAGACGAGAGAATCTTCAGAAAAAGATGGCTGAGCGGCCTAAGGCGGCTGGCAGGGTCGCAGCCCACACCAAGAGACTGAGGGAGCCGCTTACGGAAAGCAGTAACCAGCTGCCCCCAAAAGAGGAGGAAGGTAAAGTCCAGGGGCGCGTGGTCTATGGCTTCCTATTCTGTCAGCACGGGGTCACCTGCAGAAATCTTGAGTAGATGACAGCCCTGGGCATTTATTAAGCTCCACATGGGGTGAGGAGGAGTGCCCTCTGGGAGCTTGTATTCCGTGGTGGGGCATGTACCCAAATATCCTGCAGAGGTTGGGGGCTGATAGGGGTGGGGGGTGGGGAAGCAGCAGGGCAGTGACACCCATGGCTGAGCCATGAACTGAAGGATTCTCAGGCAGAGATGAGAAGGGACTGACCTGGTTAAAGGCCTAGGGGCTGGAGGTGACGGCCACTTTGGAGAGTGGTTGATGGCCCTCAGGAATGAAGGCTGCCTGGGTGGCTTGGAAACGCTGTGGGGGGGGGGGGGGGGGGGGCGGCCAGAGTAGGGAGTTTGCGTTTATTCTCACTCCAGGCCGGGTCATCGGAAGCTCGTTGGTCTGGAGGAGGAAGGAGGGGGTGGTTTTGGCAGCTTGCCGTGGGTGTCGTGCAGAGCCGCTGCCTGATCAACCTGGGTGGGGTGTAGTCCCAGAGGGCGTCCGGGGACTGTCCCGGCCCAGTGAGCCGCAGAATGTGAGCCCTCCAGGCCCTGTGCCAAGGGAGGGCGAGGGGGACAGGAGGAGGCGGAAGGGGAAGAGAAGAGTCAGGGCCACCGCGGAGCCGCGCTGGGTGGCCGCAGAGCTGCACCCTTTGTGTAGAGGTGATTCACGTAGGTGACGAGGTGTCCGAGGGGAAGGGGAGAGAGCTTCCCGGAGGAGGCATCTCAGGCTCCCAGGTGTAGGCCCAGAGAGGGACCCCAGAGGCCTGGAGGAAACCGAGGCTCGAGAGTCTGTGAGAAAGTGTCAGCGGTATGGAAGGCTGCAAGCTGAATCTCGAGTGAGCGCAGACGGCATTTCCGGGAATTGAGCCGTCTGGGGCCGGGCGCAGGGTGGCAGAGTCTAGGGAGAGTGGGAGCACCGGTAATTAAGCAGGGGTGGGAGCCAGGGAGAGGCTGAAGGGGTGTGGGGGGGCAAGGAGACAGTTGGAGATGGAGTGGCGGGGAAGAGACTGAAGGATGGTCTGGGAGAGGCGAGGGGAGGAGGGCGCTGCAGGGGTGCCAGCGGATCTCAGGGCCTGGAGCAAAGGCTGAAGGATGAGGGGGAGTGGAGGGGGCTCACGAGGGAGGGCCTTGGTCTTTGGTGGACAGAGGAAGTGGGGAGGGGGGCGTCTGGGACAACCCCTGCCAAGTCAGAGTTAGGCTGTGCTGCCCTTGTCCTTAGTTTGAGCAGCCTGGGGACAGAGCGAGCGGAGGAGGCGGCCAGTGTGGAGGGTGAAGTTTGGGAAGGGGTTTCCTCAGAACCCTTTGAGGGAGAGGGCCTAGCAAACGTCCCTTGGAAGAGACGGAGGCATGTCCAAGGATTCACAGCCAGGCTCTGTTCCTCGTGAGGAAGGGAGGCTGGGAATGACTCCCTCCCTACAGCTGCCCTGACTGCTCTGGGCTTACAGACTTGGGTGAGGCTTGAGCCCTGGGCCATAAGGTCGGGCTCTCCTGAGGCTCTAAGGTGCTCCCGGGCCTGCAGGCGGCAGGACCAGGGCCCAGGTTCTACCTCAGAAAATCAGGCCAAGTGAAGAGAATTAAACAGGTGATTTCCGAAGTGGAGAATGTGTTTCTAGTCGGAGAGCCCTGAGGCGGGAAAGTGGCGTCGTTGAGTGTGCTGGATGACTGTCAGGAGCCGGGGTGTTCCTTGGTCAGACTTAGAGAATCGGCATTGCTCTAGAAGCCTTGGCTTCAGGCAGGACTTTGGGCTCCCTCTTAGAAATAAGTTGTTCCCGATGGCTTTTGTTTGTTTGTACATCTCGCTATAATTACCTCTGGTATCTCCCCCCTCCCAGAGAGCCATCCCATGTGACAAGATTAAAAAAAAGAAGAAGAAAAAAATCAGCAAAAGCTGTCAATAGAGTGAAAATGCCCGCAAATGTCTGCACCGTCTGATGCTCGCGGACTGGCCCCTCTGCCAGTGGTGGGGGGAGTGTAGGCTGGTCCTCCGTCCACTGTGCCACCTAGCTGCCCCTGGGACGAGCATTCTAAGTGGCTCTCATGCCTCAGAAATCGTATTTAAAGTTTGGGTCGTCTCTCTTAACACGTGCCCCTAACTCCTTCAGAGATTTTAGGATTTGAAGTATTTCCTGGGGCAATTATATACCATATGCTGTAACCTTTTGTCAGAGAAAGGAGCCATCGTAAGAGTGACTAATTGGTGTTTCTCAGACCATGGTTCTTTTCAGGAAGACCCGAGTCAGCAAGATTCCTTCACATGTAGTAGCTGTGTGACCTTGGGCAAGTCCCTGAACCTTGCAGCCTTAGCTTCCCCACTTGTGGAATGGGGATACGAGCAGGGCCTACTTCCCAGGGTTGGCCTGCGGCTCAGAGGAGAGAGGATGTGTAGAGCATTCTGCCAATTCCGAAGCGCTGTGTGCATGGAAGAACATTCATAGGAAAATGAGCAGTTGCAGAAGCTTTGATTTTAAAAAGCGGATGGGGATGCCCTAACACTATTGTTACCCTATTTAATATTTAGAAAGAACTTGTCCCAAGCCGTCACCTTCGAAACGACCCTGTGCAGAGCACGCTGAAGTCCCGGCTTCTAACCTGGAAAACAAACAGCCAGTGGATTCTTGCTCTCCAGAACCCCTTCCTTCTCACACCGCGGCCCAGCCTCTGTTACCAACTGCGGCTGGCGCGCCACCGGCGGAGTGTGGATCACTGGTGCGGGAGGCAGATATGCCAACCGCCAAAACTGAAATGCCTGTGGCCTCCTCTGTAAAAACTCGCATGCAGAAACTGATGCAGCAGCGTCGCGGTTGGGATAGTGACGGTGACGGTATGTGTGCCAAGGCCCCGTCTGTCCTGCCTGCCCACTGCCCAGCCCCCGGGGCCCCTCACTTCCAGGCCAGCCTTTCTCCATCTGGCATCATCACGTCCCTCCCACTGACCCTATGTCGGACCCCAGCAGAAGACCCAATCCAATATTTTAGACTGCAGGGAACCCAAATGCCAAGGGGAGGCAGGGCTGAAAGCAGCCAGCCTGACCTCTGGCCAGGAGAGGCGGGAGGCCCAGGGCATGTGACATGGTATCACCCCCTGGAGGGCTGTCAGAGGACGTGTCTAGGAAGCATAGCGAGGTGGCGGGGATGGTGCTCACCCCCCTACAGGTTCAGGTCCCTGCTTGGGGACGATCTGATCAGTCCACAAGAAGTGATTTATGAGGCTGGCGCTACCGAAGCCTAGTTCAGCACCACACTCAGATGTGGGGGACGCCCTGTGTACATACATAGGTACACATACACGTGTGGAGATAGAACAGATAAGGGCAGTTGGGGGAGATCAGGAAATGACTTCCTATAGAAAGTGGGGCTAAAACGGAATCTTGAAGGGAATGAGGGATTTTCTGAGGTGGAGGTGAGGAGGGATGGCACCCCTGGCATGGTGCCCAGTCAGGACAAAGGCCCTGAGGCAGGAGAGGGACAGGAAGGAGGCATGTTGAGCAGGGGCACAGAGCGCAGGAAGGAGATAGACAGGAGCCTGGAAGTGGGGCTGGGGCTCAAAGCGCCAGCCAGGAGCTTGTGTTTGAGCCGAGGGGCCGTGGGGGCACTACCTGGGTTCTCAGTGGGGTGGTCCAGGACAGATGTGTCTCGTAGCTCTCCCAAGAGCGTGGGGAGGGCCTCCAGGGAAGGGCCCATGTGGTACTGGGCCCAGTGCTCCTGCAGCCACAGGTGGGCCCCCTGGCCCTCTCGGATCATTCTTTCTCTCTCCTTTCAGACGGCGTCCTCGCGTCCCCGGCCCCGGCCCCAGCCCCCGCTCCCGGCACAGACGCGCCCGCAGCCACCCCGATTGGGAGAAGGGGCCGCTTGGCCAACCTTGCCGCCACCATTTGTTCCTGGGAAGATGACCTCAGCCGTCCATCTGCAAAGCCCAGCCGTGGCCAAGAGCAGCCTGGTACGGCTTGTTTGTCCCCAGTTTCCTCCTCCACGGGAGCATCTGCTCGTATCAATAGCGGCACTGTTGGCCAGAGAGCTCCCGGCTGCTCCCGCCTGGAGCCAGGGGCTGCGGCGGCCGGCTCAGCAGCTGGCTCAGGGGAGGCCTCTCGGAGCCGTGCGGTGGCGGCGGCTTGCAATAGCCCTCAGGTGAGTGCGTCTTTGTGGGTGGGGGGGCCGTCAGTGACTCAGTGACCTAGAGGCTTCTTTTCCTCCTGTCACTGGGTGTGAATCCGAGGGGTGGTAATAGTGAAGGACTTTATTTATCCAGAGTGCCAGGGACAGGAGAGAGCTTAGCCAAGTGGGAACCGGATATGTGGAGAGCTGGACATTCCCAGGGCAGCTGGGGGGACCCTGAGAACACCAAGTGAGGAACGACGTTTAACGTGCTCTCCACCAGGCTGAGGAGGGTCCCGGGACAGCCGTCACCAAAGATGGCATCCCAAGAATGCAGAGGGATGCCCAACGGGCAGACGTGGCACCTCTAGGCAGCAGCTTGCCCAGGGACAGTAAGGAGACCTCGGCTTGGCCTTGGCCCAGGTTGTGGGAGGGCCCAGCTCGAGCCTCACCTGGGTTTGCTTTTTCAGAAAGCTGCTCCCTCCCCGGTGAAATCCCGTACGACGCCCGCAGGTAGCCCTGCACGAGGAAAGGGGCAGGACGCGGGTTTGCTTCCTGAAACCCCTGCTGGCCAGACCCTGCAGAGCGAGCTTGTGAAGCCCGGCCTCAGGCCCACTCCATCCCAACCCGGGCCGTCCCGAGGAGCCCGGGGGCCTCCCCCAAAGGACCAGGCTGTGACTCCAGGTGACGTCTGGTGGTTGGAGGGACCAGGCCAGCACGCGGCCTGGGGGGTGGGGGGCGAGGGTCACAGCTGGAGGATGCTTAGCGGGGCTGGCCTGTGCATTTTGCGCATGAGGAGATGGACCCCTCCCTTGTGATTTTAGCCTGTTCTTGTGAGAGGCTCGGCCTGGGAGCCAGAAAGCCTGGGTTTGAGACATGCTTCTGGTCCAGAGGAGCTCCACGGGCGAGTCACCAGTGCATGGCGCAGAGTAGGTGCCCGGGAGGCGCCAGTGTGCCACAGGCCGTCCTCTTCAAGTAGCTCTTGGATCGCCTGTGCGTGTGCGTGTGCTCACGTGTGTGTTTGCATGTGTGTGCTGCAAGTCTGCAGCTCTGTGCTCGGGGTATGAGTGCATACGTGTGCGTAGGGGTGCAGTTGTGGGTATACATGTGTGTGGGTGTGGCCTGGGATTTCCCCAGTTAGACGTAGACAGATGAAGGAACAGTAGATTGGGGGGCAGAGAAGAGCAGCTGTCTGAGTCCGGGGAAAGTGCTGAGGCTGCCCAGGGGTCGAGGCAGCTACCCGTGCAGAGCAGGGGCCAAAATCGTGACAAGAAGGATAATCATCACAATCACGATAACTGGCACTTATTTAGTGGTTTGAGGGTTAGAAGATGCTCCCCACCACTAGGCTGGGAGGGAGGTGCCATTATTATCACCCCCATTTTATAGTTGAGGAAACTGAGGCAGACAGGCTAAGCGACTTGCTCAAAGGTTTACACCTAGTAAGTGTCTGAGGCTGGATTTGAACTCGGCTCTTCCTAACTCCCGGCCCAGTGCCCTGGGTACTGTGGCCCCCCCTCCCCTCAACCCCCCAGCTGCTTCCCCAACGTTCTTGGCCTCCCAGCCCATCCACTGGGACTGTGTGGACGGCCGTCAACTGGCCAGTAGTTGCAGCTCTGTGTCTTTCACTGAGACGGAAGGGAAGGGCCTTGGGGGGAGACTTTGCCTGTCCGCTTAGACTCGGCCACCACCGGACCGCTTTGTGTCGGGCGACCAGGGCTACCTGGCGGTTTGGGCACCAGCCAAGATGTAGATAGAGGGAGCAGGGAGAGATGAGTGTCTGAGAAACTGAGGGAATTGAGGCTTTTTTCAAGATGTTCTTTTGAAGAATTCTCCAGGGGCCTCCCCTGTTTGTGGGGGCTCGGGGTCCTCATCCTCAGCGGCCTCTTGTCTTGATGGGGGGAGTAGGGCCCTTCCTTCCTCCTGGGCCGCCCCGGTTTGTGCCTCTGGCCGGGGGGGGGAGGGGGCAGGAGGGCCCTTCTTCCTCCCGCACCCACCACTTAGGCTGGCTTGGGGGGAGTCCCTACCCGGCCTCCTCCATCCTCACCCGCTGACCGGTGGTGACCCCTGGTCTTCTGTTGTGTGTGTAGGGGGAGCCGGCATCAAGCCTTTCCTGGAGCGTTTTGGAGAACGTTGCCAGGAGCACAGCAGGGTGAGCCCCGTGGCGCCTACCCCGCCTCGTGCCCCTCTCATCACCCCCAATACGAAGGCCCTCCAGGAGAGGCTGTTGAAGCAGAAGGTGGCGCCGTCCTCTGCCACCTTTAGCCAGCAGCTCAAGCAGGTGAGTCAGGTGGGCAGTCGCCGCTGGGGGAGGCCGACGCGGGCTCCAGTGATGGGGCCAGGGCGGAGGTGGGCTTCAGGTAGCTGCCGGCCCGGCTCTCGGGCCAGCAGGGTTCACTTTGTTCAATGTGAATTCAGGAACGAGAGAAAGAACTCGCTTGTCTCCGTGGCCGTCTGGACAAGGGCAATTTGTGGACTTCAGAGCGAGGAGAAACCGCGAGGAATAAACAGACAGACGCCACAGAGGTGAGAGACAGTGGAGTGATTTCTGGATTGGTGTTGCATGGGGATTAAGGAAGGTCGCAAGGCTGGCGGTGCTGACCCATGGCTCCAGAACCAGAGGAGCACACGTGTCATCGTGCACACCAGCTACATCTGCAGGAACTCTGCAAGGCTGGCCCGGCACCCGCGCGGGGATGCGTGTTCACCGCCTTTTTCCTCTCCTCACTTCCTCATTTTTGTGCTCCTCTCTGATCTGTTCCCATAACATCCCTCTTGCTCAGGGCCTTCCTGGTGACATGGCGGCCTTGGGCACACCCTCTCCTGCCTGGCCGTGTGTGTGCCTCCTCCCCAGAGGGGCCGCCCTCAAAGGCAGGCCTCTCTGGGGAGTGGGCACACACCACCCCTGGCGCTGAGCCAGAGGACGGCGTCAGACGGTTCCGTGGGGCCGGGTCGCTACAAGCACCCGACGCAAGGTGGGGAGGGGAGAGGTCTGCTCTGGGCAGAAGTGATTTTGAGCGGCTGCTTTGAAAGGTTCCCCTGTGAGGATATACATCTAATTGGTGTTTGGGGGGAGGGGAGGAGCAGGCCAAAGGTCGCTCCCTATACATAGACTCCGCCTTTCCAGCTGGACTCAGTTGTCTCTCTCCTCCTTATCCCCCAAAAGGTGTTGAGTAGACTGCTGTTCTGTATAGACGTGGAAGATCGGCTTAGTTGTGGCACTGACACGGTGAATGAAGGGGAGTGTGTGTGTGTGTGTGTGTGTGTGTGTGTGTGTGTGTGTGTGTCACAGAGGCATCAGGGCTTCTCTTCACCGTGTTTGAGTGTTGGACGCCGGGGGCCGGCTGGGGGCCGGCTGGGCAGCCAGTCTGCTGGACCCTTCTTAGAATCATGTTTTTAAATAATGGAAGAAAATGTTGAATTCCGGTTTGAGGTTAGTAGCAGTAAAGGTATACTGCTTTTTCCGCCCAAGCTCAGAGACCCTCTGAAATTAATCCCCAGACTCCTTGGGGTCTGCGGGCTCTCTAGAACAGGACTTCTGTCAGCATCCCACCTAATATTTATGGGACGGCAACGCCCAAAGACCTGACCTGTCTGGGACTCTGGAAGCAGGAGGGCTTACTGTCTCTGTTCCATCTCACTCCATAGGAAACCCCGTGTCAGAATGGTTTACCAGGAAAATGCCAGCCTGATTCCGAGAAGGAGCAGGCCGCAGGGTCTCAGACACCCGTGAAGTCTCCCAGCATCAAGCCTGTTGGTGAGCTTGTCTTTCTCAAAATGTGGACTGATGATCGATAGTTTGGAAACAGATCCCTCGTTGCTTAAAAGCCAAAATGGCGCATCTCGAGAGGCATCTGGTTGGCTTCCTCTGCAAGGAAGCCAGCTCTGGCTTGAGAGAGTGAGCTGTGCTGGGCTTTAGAGCCCTCCCTAAGTGGGCCAGGCCGATGCCTAGGCCTCTTCAAGCAGAGCTTTCCTGGCCATGTCGGTTGTGGCCAAGCTCCTTGTGGGCCTATAGGGTCACTGTGCCCCTTTGTTTTCTCACCATTAGCACCTCTATGACTGTGCACCAAGGGAGAGATGACCCGTTGACCTTTATCTTCTCCCTTTCGCTGCGGGGTGGGGGTGGGTAGATGGTGGGGGCTGTGACTCCTTTGCTATTTCATGGTTGGAGGTGATGCTGGCTTTTTGAAGCCTTGCCACTTGGGGCAGACCTTGGAGAAGGGTCTGGGACATTGGAAAGGCTTTGGATATAGTTCTCAAGACTGTCCAGAATGGCCCTGGGGCCAAGGTGGGGTGGGGTGGTGCAGTGTGTGGGTGGTGACCATCAGGATGCATCTAATCTATTGAGGAAGCTTGGAAAAGGACACCAAGCCACGTGAAAGGAGCCAGGATGTGGAAAGCTGCTTCAGTGTCCCCTCGAGGGCCCCGCCCCGGGCATCCCCTCACGGTGCTGATTGGCACGAGGGAAGCTGGTGGGCCGTTTCTGCCAGCATCTGCTGTGGAGGATGAATGAGTCTCTGCGTGGTGCCAGGCCCCGGCGAGATCAGCCCGGACCACTCTGGTGGCGCATACGCCTGTAGGCACCGTGTGCAGTGGTGGGCATCCAGAGTGAGGATGGTGAAAAACAGGGCTCAGCCTTGAGACCAAAGGGCCGGAAGGCCCCTGCTGCGACTTGTCCTGGTTCAGCCAACCCTACGGCCTGTGAAATGGGAGCCATGGAAGGGCCTACGCACAGTCCAGAGGCCGGCCTTTCGTCCTGAGAGCCCAGGGCTCTGTACACAGTGAACACTTGAGGGGCGTTTTGTCCTTGCCTGGGGAAATCCCTCATTATGTATGGAACCACGCTTATCAGGAGGAGGCATTTCCCTTTCCAGGCTTATCATACACTGGGCGCTGCCCTTCTCCTAGTGGCTGACTTGCTATGTATCGTATACACACCAGTTCCCGTCTCCACACTTTTGGCCAGGCTGTGCTCCCAGTCCGGAATGCTTGGCCGCTTGGTGGCCCCAGCTCTGTCCGAAGTCTGGCTCAGAGCCCCACCCCGCCTTCCGGCCTACCCGGGCCCATTCAAGGCTCTTCCCTCCCTTCTAGCTCTCTGGTGCCTTGACCAACCTCCCTGGGGAGTGTAAGCCCCTGGAGGACAGGGGCTCTTGTATTCCCAGCAGGAGGAATAGTAGGTGCTTAATCTATGTTGGTTGTTTGGGCATTCTCTGACCCCCGGAAGCCATCTTAATGAAAGGGCGGAGGGAACCCCTTTGCTTCACCATCCCCCCCAGCTCTCCCTTTACTCGTAGGACAGGATGGGCCCTGCCCCCTCAGTCCTTGCCAGGGCAGACCCCTGTGCCCCCCACCCCCCATCATGGCGTCAGATACTTTGTGGTTATTGATCTCTTGGCCCTTTCACACTGGGCATTCCTCATGCCTGGACGTGTGGACGACAGAATTTTTTAAATTGTGTTTTTAAGTGACTTTGAAGTTGATGTTTCCATTAAGAGGCAGATATTTTATTTAATAGATTAAGGGAGATTAAAACTGGGGGGGAGGGGCTCATTCTCTAGTTAACCCCTTTCCTAATTCTAGATGTAGGCAGCAGGATGGATTGGGCTGCTGAGCTGGAGAGCATTTACTAAGCCCTTACTGTGTGCCAAGCACCATCATAAGGACGGAGTCTGCTCACAGGGTGACCCTAGGCCAGGCCTGCACACGTGGGCCTCAGTGCCCTTATCTGTCAAAAGGGGATAATCATAGCTGTACCCCCCACTACATGTACATACATGTGTGCACACACATGTACACACATACATGTGCACTGAGTCATTGGTAAGGCTTAAAAGAGAATGTCTGTAAAGGGCTTTGCAAACCTTCAAGGTTATCTAAGTGTCTGTTATTATTGTAAAATATTTTTCTTTTAAAATATTTTTAAGTGGCTGATTGTGTTTAAACTAAATCTTTAGGCCTTTGGAAGTCTTTCTGGTTTGAAAACTTAAGGAGATGAGGTTGAAAGCTGTTTCCCCTTGTTTTCTAGGCCTTCCTGAAAGCAAAATGACCACATCTAGTCCTTTGAAAATAACTCTGTTCTTAGAGGAAAAATCCCCCAAAGTCGCTTTGGACCCTGAGGTCGAGAAGCAGACAGGTTCGTGGGTCTCCATTTCCTCGAGGTGTCTGCGGCCCCACTGTGGGTATTGGCGGGTGACCCCAGGCTCCCACGCCAGGTCACCTGGGGAAAGGGCCGCTGGGCCTTGTGCAGAGGGCTTTGGTGAGCTGAGAACATGGATGCTGGTTGGGTCCTACTGGGGTGTTTGAGAGCAGCCCAGACTTTGGGTCAGCCTTGTGCAGCAGCAGCAGGAGAGGTGCTGGAGATGTTCAGGCCCACAGCCTTTGGGCTCAGAGGCTCCCCTCGAAGTGGGCGGCAGCTGCCTTCCCCGGCCGCCTGTCCTGCCCCTGGTGTGTCGAACTCTTTTCTTTTTAGAAGAGGTACGTGATGCGGAGAAGAATGTGGGTGATGACGACATCCTCAACAGCTCCAAAGTCATCAGTGACATCTTTAGTGACGTATTGGAGGAGGACGGGCTGGGCCTGGAGCCTCAGGGGAGCAGTGAGGATGCAGACAGCCTCGATGAGCCGGGGGAGGCCCTGAACATCTCGTCCATGTCCTTACTGGCCCCGCTGGTGGAAACAGTAAATGTGAGGAGTCCTGAGGTGAGGAAGCTCTGGGGGAGGGACGGCCCAGAGTGAGCGAGGGGGAGTGGGAGGCCTTGGCGTGCCCGGAAGTGCTCTGGGGACCCACAGGAGCAGCGCCAGGGACAAGGCTGGCACATTCCCCCTTATTTTCAAAGCAGGCTTGGCCTCAGTTTCAAGACAGCTTGCATATTTCCTGAAGGAGGGAGTACTATTTAGAGAGTAAATTCCAAGAAAGATTTTGCTCATTGCTGTTTGTCTTAGGAGGTCAGCTTTGGGTTTGCCTTGGGGACCACGTGGGCAAAGTGATTTAGCTTCAGTGGAGATGCGTTAGATACTCATTACCCTCCGATACGCTTTTCTTCAGGTGTTTGCTTCCTTGCCCAGTCTGGAGATAAAAGATGATGCAAGTGATGACAGCCCAAAGCCCGGAAAATTCCAAAGGGCTCGCGTCCCAAGAGTCGAGTCTGAGGATAGCCTCAGCTCTGGAGACCGCGACCTTCTCTATAGGTGAAGGGGGGAGAAAACCAGTCTTTGTGGGCAACGGTTCCTGTTGGCTGATCTGGGCAGGGAGGGCCAAAATCCTGCTGCCTTGGGCCCTTCCCCGTGGGGCCTCAGAAGGGGATGCTGAGCTGCCAGCCGCCCGGGAGCGTCCCAGGAGGCCGTAGCCGGCCGGCTCTTGCCTCGGCAGTGTCCCCTTTTGGGGGGATGCTGCCCTCGGATTCTGCAGGAGGTGGGCCTGGGTGGCCGCTGCTGAGACGTTGCCCTTGCCTTCTCCACAGCATCGATGCCTACCGCTCTCAGAGGTTCAAAGGGACCGAGCGCCCTTCGATAAAGCAGGTGATCGTTCGCAGAGAGGACGTCTCCTCGAAACTGGAAGAGAGGAGGACCGCGTCCTCCTGCCACATGAACATCAAGCAGAAGATCCAGGAGCTGAACAATGACATCAACTTGCAGCAGACCGTCATCTACCAGGCCAGCCAGGCTCTGAATTGTTGTGTTGATGAGGAGCACGGGAAGGGCTCGCTGGAAGAGGCTGAGGCCGAGAGGCTCCTCCTGATCGCAAGTACGGGACGGGCATGGTGGGTGTGGCACGGGCGGGGCCTCTGAGAGGCAGAAGTCGCTTTTCTCCCTCTCTGGCTCAAATCTAAATTTTTCCTAACCACAGCCATGAGGTTCTTGACCTTGCCCATCTAGAGGATTTGTCGTGCCTTCCTGAAGCGTAGCTGGGGAAGGGCAGAAGAGCCCTGGGCTGTTGGGGCAGCCTTTGCCCCCTGAGCCGGGGAGGGTGGGGGGGACGTGCCAGCTGCGAAGGGGCCGCCCCTTTGGGCGCCTCTCCCGGATGCTGCCTCCTCGTGAGACGCTGGCTGGAAGAGTGGGGACTTCCTGGTTTGAAACATTGCCCGTTTCTACGCAGCCGAGAAGAGAGCGGCTTTGATCGAAGAACTTACTAAGCTGAAGGCAGAGGGGCCTCAGCGACGGCCCCGAGCCGGCCCGGAGTCCAGCGAGCTGGCTCCGTCGCGGGGCTGCGTCGCGCTCTCGGAGTTCCGGCTGCCTCTGAAAGCCGACTTTGTCTGTGACCCAGCTCAGAGAGCAGGTGGGATGCTGGTGCCCCAGGTACAGAGCTGGGCACAGATGGCAGGGGGTGCGGGAATTCATCCCCTGAGCCCATTTCTGCCCTGGAATCACCTTTCAAGCCGTGCATACACTGGGTGACTTTGAGAGGTGAGGGCATTCCAACCCTTCCTCTTCTGATCGGGGACGGGGCAGTGGCTTGTCGTTGGGCGGATGGATGTGCTGTATTGTGGCAGTTTGGCTCTTTGTATGTGAGGTGGGAATGTCCTCCTGAGGTCCTGGAGGCTGACCATCGCCTCCCAAACGGGCTGAGGCCCACTGCCTTGGCATAAGACCTGGGGGCGGGGGCTGCTACCTTCCTAGAAGTAGCATTTTTTCATGCACTTGGAGCCACACCCCAGACTGTTTGAGGGCTTGGTCTGTCCGCTCTGCTCCGGCCATCACTGGGTCCAGTTCCGTTTTGGCAGCTGGACTGTCAGCCCGGGATGCCTTGGCACAGCCTCGGAGCCTGGGGGTCCCCGCCCCTAACACAAGCCTGTGGGAACTCGAGACCCCTGAAAAGCCGGAATGACCCCTGGGGGACGCTGACCCCGCACAGCGCCTTTCAGAGCGGCCAAGCCTGAGTGCGCATTTCTGAAATAGATGTCTTGTTTTCTACAGAAGCAACAAATTACTACTTAATTATGCTGAAAGCAGGTGCCGAGAATATGGTCGCAACGCCTTTGGCCAGCACGGCGGACTCCCTTGCTGGAGACGCTCTGACGTTCAGCACCACGTTTACTCTGTAAGTGCAAGGGTTTGGTTTTCAGGAGTCACGCCCCCCCTGCATCCCTGGAGGAGTAAAAGGTTTTAGGGTCAGATGGCACCTTGAACCCGGGAGTGTCCTTTACCTGTACCTCCACAACCACAGTTTGTTTGTGGGCCTTGGTGTGGGAGGGCACAGGGCGAGTGTGGCCAAGTGCTGACCAGCTCTGGTGGATGGAGCTTCTGGGCCCTGAGGCGCAGAATTCCCTGATGAAATCAGCCCAAGGTCGATTTGATACGTCCACCTTCCTTAAACCAGAGCCCTTTTCTGAAAGTCACTTCCCCTACTCAGTAAAGTCCAGTGGCAGGTGACCGAGGGGTCTCAAACCTGTTGGTGATGTAGGGGGTGTCTGCCCCAAGCATGTAAAGACGTCTCCCGGTGGAATGGATGGAAAGAATGATGGTCGTTCTGACAGCCATTAGGGGGCTGAGGCGGGTGCTGCAGAGTGTTTGACATTCAGTCAGACATGGAAGACGCTGAGGTCGCCCGCCGCCACAGGGCCCTCGCCAGTCCTACCATTGGACCCTGATGACTGTGGAGGAAGGCGTGACGCCATTGGCTCCCCTTGAACGTGGCTGCCCGCCAGCTCTGGTGCCAGACAGAAATACCTCTGCTCTTTGAAGCCTTCCTCTGGCTGCCTCTCGCCCACGAAACGTCCCTGGCTGTGTTCTGGGCTTTGTCCCCTGGCTCTGTGTCACGTGCCCTCTCTCGTCTCTCCTCAGCCTGGGTTTCCTGGGGACGGGGGGGTTCCGGCACGTAGGAGGTGCTGCCTGTTCTCTCCTCTTTTGGGGCAAGTGTTCTCTTTGCTTAGTGCCTCCTCTCTGGAATTAAAACCCGGTCTGGGCAGGTGGTCCTGGCTCCCCATGCGTACTTTTGCGCGCTCCCTAGGGGACAGAGTGGCCTTCTGCCGTCAGCCAAGGGGAACCAGACCGCTCCCTCCGGCTGGCCCCCTGCCTACCCAAGGCTCGGTGACCAGAAGGCACTGGGCACAGCAGGGTGGAGCAATGGGTGCTGATGCTTTCCTTCATCTTCTAGGCAAGACGTGTCCAATGACTTTGAGATCAGTGTTGAAGTTTACAGCTTGGTGAGTGATTCGTGCTTTCTGATGTGACCCCAAGAGTTCGACACTGTTGGGCTTAAGCTCTTTGTTTTCCCTCTTTCCGATGGGGCCTCCTAGCTTGCCGGCACTGGAAGTTGAGGGGCTTTCACCTGGGCTGGTTTCTCCTTCCTTGGTCAGTGTGAGGGTCCCCTGCTCTGGAGCTCACCAGCTGGGTGCCTGAATCCCCGAGAGGGGCCGGCCTCGGCCTCCCTCCTTTAGGGAGGGGATTGCAGGGGCATCCCCCATCCTTGAAAGAAGACAGCACTTTGTGAAGGTCCAGGGTGTACGTTAACGTTGGTGCTTTGGTACAGGTCCAAAAGAGAGCTTCCTCGGGGCCTGACAAGAAGAGGAAGGCATCGAAGTCCAAGGTGAGGGGCCCGTGCAGGGTTGGACGGTCTGGGGCCATCAGTGTGCTCTTTTCAAAGAAATGTTGTCTCTGGTGGTTTTTTATGAGACACCCACACACACCCACCCCCTCACACACACTCTGACGCACACATCTACACCCGTTCCCTCACCCCCCAACATATGCCACCCCCAACACATACATACACACATACTCACGCACGTGCGAGCGTGTGCACACACACCCTCACATACACTCTGACGCACACACCTACACCCATTCCCTCACTCCCCAACATGCCACCCCCAACACATACATACGCACATACTCATGCACGGGTGAGCGTGTGCACACACACCCTCACACACACTCTGACGCACACACCTACATCCTTTCACCCCCCCCAACACATACATACGCACATACTCATGCA